AAAAAAAAAGAAAAAAATGTGAGTTTTCTTTATTTTATATAGATAATTTATAAAATGTCTTTATAATATATACTGTATAATACATTACCTATAAAATTTTATACTTCCTTTAGACACATACATGATACCTTTAAAGAATGAAAAATTGGAAACATTGTTTTGTTCATCATGGAAAATTTTTATAATGGGAAAAATGTAGAAGTTATCTAAATCCTATTGTGTATAAGAAAATTAAAATCCGGGTATGGTGGCGCATGCCTGTAACTCCAGAGCTGGGGAGGCTGAAACAGGAGGATCACTACACAAGTCTGAGCTGCGTAGTGAGACCCTGTACAGAATAAATAAATAAATAAAATAATAAATAAATAAATTTTAAAAACACACACAGAAAAAAAGAAAAAGAAAAAGAAAAAGTAAATTGAGTCCACTATGGTATGTCCCTAGATACAGGACTCATGTAACTTATTAAAGTACACATTGGAAAGTACCTAGTAACATATAGAATTGATTACATAATGTTAAAAGAGATGCAAATTAGTATATGGGCTATCATGACATTTATAGACTATATAATAATAGGTACATGGGCATCGAAAACTTAGAAGAAATACACCAAAACAATAAACGTGGTCACTCTTTGGTGGCATGACTGATTTTCTTTCAACCTGGGATGCTGTAGTGAACCAAAGAGCTCAGGTCACGGAGCTCAGCTCCAGCCGGTGCAGGCACCATGTCAGTAGCCATCACTGAACTCTTGTGTGCAGCGATGCTTGTTTCACCGCTGGGCCATTGCCAAGCCATGCCTGCTGTTGAAATGTAGTCTCTTTCCAGGTGCCTCTACTTGCCCCTTGATCCCCACGCTGTCCTCTGCGGCAGTGTCTTCCTCCACTTTCAGGTGACTAGGTGACCCAGCCACCCCTGGATAGGCCAAGGAAGTGCTCTCTTTGGGAGGCTCCTGATTCTCCATGTGTGATTCACAGGGAGGGCAGCTTTCAGGCTTTCCTTTGGAGCACTGTTCCTTTTTTTTGGCAGAACCGGGGATTGAACTCAGGTCCTTGCACTTGCCAGGGAAGCGCTTATTCCACTGAGCCATCTCCCCGGCCCCTGGAGAACTGTTCTTTAAACTTGGAAAATTCTGCCACAGCGCTTCAGTGTGTGGCTTACAGCTATTCTCTTTTGTTACCTCTGTCTAAAATCTTAGAGAAGCCAATGCCTTCCCTTACTTCCATCATTCAAAATTAATGAAAATTGGATTCAAGAAATCATTGAGATTGGGTTTGGATGGGAGTAGAATGAAAGCATATGGGGGTGTAATGAGGAGGAGGGTCCAAGAGAAAGGCACAGGAAGGGCAGAACAGGCAGCCACAGATGACCTATGTTAGAGCTGCCTGGGAAGGCATTCAGGAGCCTGCCTAGGTCACTGGCAATGTTTTACTTTTGTTTTTTGGTACAGGGATTGAACTCAAGACCTTGCACTTCCAGCAACTATCAAGTGGCTTTATTTATTTATTTATTTATTTTAAAGCAACACTCTTTGAATTTTCACATACTATTTCAGAGCTCTTAGGAAAAGCACATTGTAATACCAACCTCAATTCTTTGAGGTGGTTGGGTTAATATTAATACCGTGTGTCCACAATAGTATTTCCTGGGGTACTAACGTCTTTGTTCTACTCTGTGCTCTTAGTTCCTCTTCTTGTTTTTCTTAGCTTTATTAAATAGGCAGAACACAGCAAAGATAATTTTCTCAGGGAAAAATGGTTTGGAAAACATTTATAGAGTTAGGGACACCCTGGGTACAGACAATTGTAACACAAGGACGTCCTTGTATGTCCTGGCTCAGGTTGACAGTGACAGTCTGAGCACCAGCATCCCCATCCCCACCGTCCTACACGCAGGGAGGGAGAAGTCTTTCCTCGAGTTTGCAATTCTCTCTAGTGTCCTTGCGCAATTCAGTAGATGAGTAAGGTTGGAGGCATGCGCAGGGGTTATGTCAGGGCTATAGATAGGTCTAATTTTTCCTCAAGTACTTGTAAAGGTATACAATCTAGTTTCCAATAATTTCCTTAGCTTTCTTTCAGCCTTCTTAGGTTTTATTAGCAATTAGTCTTCTTAATTTCCAAGAGAATTAATTTAGGAGCAGGAGTTTCTCTGGAGAAAGTCACCTGGTCTTTGTCTTTTTTACTTCTGTGGTGGAACTGGCGATTGAACTCAGGCCCTTGCAATTGCCAGGCAAGTGCTTATTCTACTGAGCCATCTCCCCGGCCCTGGTCTCTGTCTCTGAGCAAGTGTTAAATGATTGAAGGGTCACGTGTATGGGAATCGCTGAGAAGACGATTCTCATGCCTGGCTCTGGCGGATGCTTCCTGGGTAGGTGACAGTTGTAGCCCACATCTGTTGTGAACTGGCCCGAGGCCAGCAGGTGTGTTCTCTGAATTGGAAAGGAACTCAAATGTTAGATGTTAGGGGTATAGAGTGCCACAGGATGTGGACATTCTGGGGCTCTGGTGCTTCCTGAGGAGTCTGTATCCGCTGGATCAGGCAGAGGTGAGAGGACCGAGACAGCAGAGGACATGAGTAGATGCCCAGCGTTTGGGTTTCACCTGTCCCACCATTTGTCACTTCTCTCTTAGACTGCAGTCTATTCCAGGGTTATGAAACAAGCTACACAGCCTGGTCTCACTAACTGTATCAGTGGGATGGCTTATGTACTGTTCAACAAGTAGATTTTTCCTCCAGATGTGCTAGATACGGGATGACCTGGGGTGTGGAAACCAAAAAGCTGTGGTAGGACCATCCTGGCTCCTTGCTGGCAGGCAATCTGTTCAGAGAGATCATAGGAGGAAGAAATTTTCTCTCGTGTTCTTCTCAAAGGTTAGTAAATGCTGTGCAAAAATAGATCTTCCTTCACACAGTCGATCTGAACTGATAGCTGAGTTAATTTGTGTCTGTGAGATCTAGTCTCAATTTTCATCCTAAATTCTGTATATGCAAAAACAACTTATGGGAACTGTGAGAAATGTTCAAATGGAAATATAGAGTGGTTAGAGACCTGCTTTATATAAAATCCTTGAAACCTTTACATGGGAAAGAGGAGAGGATTTTTCTCTGGAGTCTTATTTGACTATGGATCTCCAGACTAATACAAGCCTGTGTCGACTTGTTCCAGGCAATTTTGAGTAGAGCAGGCCTTCCTTGAATATGCTGTAGGACAACATGTGGTATTAGGAAAACAAACATAGTGCATAGTCCAGTGCTTCTTTCTTCCATGGAAGGTGTGTGATCTGAGCTGCTTTCATTCAACCCACAGAACTGTCCATTCAGTGACTGCCTGGGAGCTTTATAGGATTCCTATATACTGTAGAATGGAAGCCTCAGTCCTGAACCTTTACAAGAGTCATTTGTGAATGATCCAAACTTTTTCAGTAACAAATTACAGTGATGAAGTAACTGGACTGGGACATAGATAAAAAACAAAAACAACAACAATAACAATAAAAAACTAAAAAACCAAAAACCAAAAAAACCTCCTGAATGTCTCTGAGTTTGGCAGTCCAAGGGTGAATGGAGTTCAGCCTTAGTCAAAACATGGTGCTCTGGGACAAATCTTCAGAAAATGCCCACAAAGGCCACAAGGAGGCGCTACCGTTCAGACTTGCACAGTATGGGATGCGCCTGAAAGAGATAAGCAAGAACAGGAAGGGACCTGTTTTCCTGTTTTATGTCACTTTCTTGTAAATGGTGTGGAAAGGTCATTGCTGTAGGACGTTAAACCTCAGGCGGGAGGCGCTGGGAGGGAGAACTGAAAGGAGGAAAATTTTGTAGACTATGGATATAATGTTAGTAGATTTCAAAGAAAACATGACTTTTAAAGAAGTAGAGTGACAGAGAGAGACAGTGAGACACACACACACACACACACACAGAGAGAGAGAGAGAGAGAGAGAGACAGACAGAGAGAGAGACAATACATTGCAGTTGACACCAAGTGAAAGATTGGGTTTGGAAAGGTAACACATAGAAGTTTTTTTTTTGTTTTGTTTTGTTTTTTAATTGATGTAGTCCAGAGAGATGAAAAAAAGAAATATCTCCATAGAAGTTTGTAAATAAATAGAAAAAATAAAATAAAATTAGCTTATACACTGGTCTTGTCATAGAAATGAGAATGTACAGGAAAGTCCTGGTGGGAGTTGCTTCTGCAAGAAAATAGGAAAATACGATTGAGTCAGGCACTTGCAGAGAACATTATAAATCCATGCTTAATAAGTGGCCAGGATTACCATGGCTTGGAGCATACAGTTCTCCATCAGAGTGCTGGTGACGTTTCAGGCCGTGGGTCTGGGCGCCTTGCATGGAGTAAAAATGGCAGCTGCTGTTTTGTGTGAATTCAGCCAGTAAGACACAGGGACGTGTTCTGGTTCCCGATTCTGTTGTTTAACAGAAGACTCTGCTCAAAACACATGCTGAGATATCTTGTGTTTTCAAGCCTTTTCTTTTTGAATGTTGTTTAGGGCTATTACTGAATCTGAGGACCTTACCTTTTTTATCCTATGTGGGAAAGACTCCCCATCCTGGAGACACAGATGACTCATTGCAAACCCTGCCTAAGACCTAATTCCTGTCAGTACCTCATGCAGCTTATTATACATGAATTCTGATGCTCTTCTACAGGAATATACACTTCTTGGTTCTTTCTCTGTTCCCCAAATATAACAAGATAATGCTCTGTGTGGTTATTTGGGAGTCAGCTGTATCTTACTTTCTTGCCGAATATTCTAATGAGTTTCCTTTGGGGAAGTGTAAGACTAAAGATAAGCCACAGCCCGAAGCCCAGGCTGCTGACTTGAGCACAGATGGAAGAATGTTAACAGCCAAGAAATATGAGGTCTTGGCTCCATTCCCAGAACTGCCAGGCTAAGACCTTGGTAGAGACTCAACAGGAAACTGAACTCTATTTGCATATCCTTTTATACATGGGAGATTAAAAGCTTCAACCTTGAGTGATCACAGTTTTTGAGAATCACAACGAGGCATTAAAGAAGGGGAGGAGTATCCCAAGGGAGGTGAGCTGGGGGTGATGTGAGGTAGTGGGGAAGTTAGCAATGACTTTCAGTCCCCTTTGATTAATCATGAGTGTATTTCATTTGGTTGTTTAAAAAATTTTTTTTTCCTTATTGGGTTGCATAAAAGAATCAGCAGGACAGAGGTCTGTGCTTCCTAAATCTTGGGAATCTGATTCCCAAATCTTGGGAAATCCCAAAGGAAACCTGTTAGAATATTTGGCAAATTTACTTTGATCCCCTTTGTCTCACAGGTAAATCCTTCTTTTTCTTTCTGGGCAGAGACCTACATAATTTCTTAATGTTGAAGGAAATTTAGAGATTATCTAGTAATAATCTCATCTGATATAAACTCTTTCACTGTACAGATAGGAAAATGAGGTGCAAGTAAGTCAACTGACGCCCAAAGGCCCACAGAAAGCTCGGGTAAGAGCTCTGCCTCCTAAGCCAGGCTGCGAGCTCTTGGCCAGGGAGCTTTGCTGAGGTCTCAGCTTCTTTCCAGTTTGTGATTTGGCTCAGAGGCCTTCACTACTGGCCTCTAGCCGAGTCCATGCTTCTGGCAAGAGGGTGGCTCTGATTCCCTAGCTTTCCCGCCAGTACCCCAGTACCAGGTCCCAGGACCAGGTCCCGGTAATTCTTTAATGAAAAAAGCCAGAGGACTGGAATGAAGATCTTTATCCTTGGGATTCACAGGAGAACTTGGCTTTCTTGGTCAAGTACCACAGTGAAAACTAACCCCAGGCAGACAGCATGGACAACAGGAAGATGGACAAGTGTCATGCCTCACAGGTTAGTAATTCCATTACAGCTTTCTCTCTAAGACCAGGTCAAGGTATCTCTATTCCTAAAAGACACAGTAATTAAATGTATCCTAAAGCTGGGGAGGCCTTTGGGGAGAGCATTTCTACAGCTAGGTAAGGTCTGGGCATTTTGAAAATTGAGACCCCCTTTGTCCAGCTGTTGTCCCAGACATCTGAATCATGTTTCCTGGAAAAGAAGTTTAGTATGAAAAAGCTCACTGTCCTTGCTATTTCTGGTACAGCAGAGACACTAATCTGGTGCAGACAAAGGACAATGAGGACACAACATCTTATGAAAGAGAAGCACTGCCCAGGGATGGCCTTTCTTTGGGGGATTTGACTATCGTCATTGCAGGGAAAGAATCTGGAGAGGTTATGGGACAAGAACACTTCTGATGAGGAATCTGCATGAAAAATATACTCGCAGTACCTTTGAATGTCTTGGTTTGGGGGAACATTCATGGTCACTGGGAGTGGCCCTTTCACTCTCAGTTTTTAGTAATTTTTCTTCTGGTTGAGCCATTTCTCTTCTGGGTGAATTATCTACTTTTGTACCATTAAGAGGAATGGGGCATCCGTGTTACTGAGCGCCTTTAGGGTGCTTGTCACTCAGGTGTACCAGGTACTTGATAGCAGTTATTTAATTTAATCCTCATAATAACTCTACAAAAATCATGTCTCCCATTTTAAGGATGTGGAATTAGAAGTTTGGAGAAGTTAAGCCATCTTCTTTAAGGTCCTAGAATTAATAAGTGAGAAATAGTCCCATTTTTGTTTGGTTCTTTTTACTACTAAAAGAATTTAAAAAGAGATTTGATGTTTGTAGTCTAATGTTTTTAATACACTCCTGGTGGACTGGCTTTGCCAAAGTTAGAGACAATATGCAGATTCTTGTTTATACATTAATAGCGTAGGGGAATGATTTTAACTATTAATTTTTGTGTATCACTTCACCTATCTGCACTGTATTACTACCTATTGCAGAGAAAAAAAATACACCTGATTAAATTATGCCATGAGAACTTTTCTGAAAACAAGTTTTCGTGGATCTGCAACCTGGCAGGGATTATAGCAGGTGGTTGCTTGGAATCAAAAAACCTCACTCCTACCTCTCTTTCACCCTGGCATGATCACACATTTTGCCTTTTCTATGTATTTTTTCCGATGTCCAAAGACAAAACAATAAAACTATCATGAGCAACACAGCCTCCCTCGAGGCAGGTGAAGGTTAGATTGTCTGACTACCGGTAATAGTTCAGAACAGTCCTTCAGGAGAATAGGACTCTTGCAAGGGTCATGCAAGATTGTTCATTCTGAGCCCCCCAAATTCTTTTCCCTACTCTTCGGCTTAATCAGTTCTGAATAAGTAAGTCAGAAGGCAAAAGACAAGAAAATTCAAAGAAGTAAAGGGAAGTATGTTTTTATAGGTAAATAAGAATAATTCAAGAATCATCCAGGTGGAGGTGTAGATGCAGAGGGGTAGGCCCAACTAGAGAAAGATCACTTTATTATGTGCAGATTCTCCTGTTCTGCCCATCAGGGAGGTTTCAGTTCTCAGTTCCCAGTGGTAAAAGCACAGTAATATTCAACTGAGTCCTCCTATTTCAATCTGTTGGTTTCTAAATATAACTGATTATTGACACTATTCCTGGTGATAGCAAGTCTTCCCCCATTGAAGATGTATAATGCTTAATATCTTTCTTTTTTTAAAATGTGTTTGGTACAGGATCTTACTACACAGCTTGGACTTGTAGTGATCCTCCTGTTTTCAGCTTCCTCAGCACTGGGATTACAGGTATGCACTACCACACTCAGATGTGGTTGCTGGTTTAGTGCACCCGGGGGTGGGGCCAGCATGGCATATGGTATTGGAGATGGGATCCTGGTCCCCGCGCTTGCCTAAGTAGATGCTTAGTCCACTGAGCTATCTTGTGGCCCCACTTAATATCTTTCAAAGGACAAAGCTTGGAGACATGTGGTCTTTCTTGGAAGAACCAGTTCATTCAAAGGAATCTGGAGTTAAATTCAGAGGTACAGGTGAGCATCAGGAAGTCCCTAATATTTCACAAGCTCCTCCAAATGTTGGAACTCTGGGAAAGAAGAATCATGGTAAAATCATAAAAGACAGATATCACATCACCTCATGAGGAGGCCACGTAGGCAGATACCATGTGCTGTGGACTAGCGGGGCAGGGGGGAATGCCACAGACCACCCCAGAGGTTACTATCTTCTCAGATGCCCAGTGAGGGACCAACGTCTTGGGGCCCCAACAGGAGGTGGTCCCGCCCTCTGTGCACATCTCCTTGATGGAGTCTACTGAAGTCCATGAGGACTCTGGGAGGGTTTTGGGCCCATTCTGTGAGCCCCGAGTACCTGCTCATGGACATGATTTGAAAACTAGATGTACTATGCTCCAGGCAATCCAGTACATCTTGAGTGTGGGGTGCAGCAGCTGCAGAGGTAGCCTACCTGCCCTTGTGTCTTGGCTTGGCTTGGCCACAGCTGTGAGGTGGCCTTGGGCAGTGCCTGAACCTCCTGCTTTGCTTCTTGGTCAGTAAATAGGGATAATGACAGCTGTGGGTCATTGTAGGGAACTAAATAGGTGAAGCCATGTTAACTGCTGTGAGCAGGACTTGCATACAGGAAAGTCCTTTATGATGGGAGGCTGTCAGCCCTGCAAGGACTAATTCTGCAGTTGCTAATGATTTTCATTTCAAGGGAATTTTCATTTTTAGCTTCTTTTTGCTGAAATTTCAGAAAGTTTTCTCTTTTCCACAACTCATAGGAATTGGGAATGACAGATCACAGGAGTTACAGAAAATGAAAACTGGAAGGGACCTCAGGCTGTGTCAGGTCCAGCTTCTGCACCTTACAAATAAGCCAGGGAACAGAAGTGGTGGGCTCCTCTTCACAGGGCAGACGTAGCCTTTAGGTGCAAGGTACAGGTTAGGCAGGTTCTTTCCTGTTGTGTAGCAACCCTTCATTTGTGGCAATTAAGCATTTCTGACTCAGGGGAGCTCAGACGCAGAACACCACCATGATTCTGTTTGAGGGGCTGACCAGAGCTGACCATAATATTATCAACCTTATAATTTAATAGCACCTTTCCTTTCCTTTTCTTTAACATTGTCATATTGTTGGCTTAACCTTGTTTTGAAATAAGGAGGGAGAGACTGTCTCTGAGTGGGAGGGGGTGAGCTGCTTTCAGGCTTTTGATACATCCTCTCCCCAGCAGAGCAGCCAGAGGTCCTGCACTGAGAAGCAGGTCCCGGTGTGTGGGATTATGCAGTTGAGATGAGAGAGTAGCCCAACCTTTCTTCTCTTATCCAGAAAGGCGTACTGAGCGCCTGCTGTGTGCTTAGTAGGATGCCAAGTACCCACAGGAATGTGAAAGAACCTAGGGCGGGGCTTGAGATTTCAAGCAGCTTCCAGAAAGAGGTAGAAATCACAGACTGAACTGTAGGCAAGCTCTTAGGAGCTCTTTAAGGGCTTTGTACTCCCAAAACACAAAAGAAACCTTCTGCTCCCAAACCAGGAAAGCACTAGTGAGGAGCTCAGCTTGGCTGGGAGGAGAAAGATTTTCCAGCTGACTAGAGGGGACAATTGCTTAGTGGAAATGCAGCCTGGAAACACACAAGTGACAAAATGCTTTTCTGTGGCCACCGGGAATCAGGGTGTAGTGGGAGTTCTGGGGATTCTGGGTTCTTTCGGCTTTGACACTAGCTGGTTGCATGAGGTGGGAAAGTATATTATTAGGGTTCACTTGAGGAAGAGAACACACACACACACACACACACACACACACACACACACACACACACTCTGCTCTCTGTACCCTGGAGAGTTAGGGCATCCAGTCACAAGTTAAAGGCCTGGGGCAGGGGATATAGACTAGCAGCACAGCAGCTGCCTAGCAAGCATGAGGCCCTGAGTTCAATTTCTAGTAACTTCCCCTTCCCCCTCCCCCACAAAAAAAGATGAAGGTCTGGAGTCAGCGAGAGTGCACTTTAGAAGCTGAAGGGTTTGCTTTGGAAGGCAGAAAAGTCTGCACCGGAAGCCTGAATGAGCACCAGAGGTTAGGTGAAGGCTGGAGCCCCCCTAAGAAGCAAAAGGGCAGACTTTCTTCCTTCCCTTTTTATTCCACCCAGGCTTCAAACCTAGTTAGTGCTACCTGCAACCAGAGTGGGTCTTTCCTCTTCAGTAAAATTGTCACCCAGATGTGCCCTGACCTGTGCTCCCCTGTTCCACATGGCATTTCTTATTCAAGTTGACACCACAGTTATGCCATTTAATGTCTTCATTCCTTACTTTCTTTGTCTACTGAAAACATAGAGTGAGCTGGCGGCCAGCGTCTCACCATCCCGATGCTATGCTTGATGCTATCCACATGTGGTAGTAGCTGTCCTCTGTGTAGAAAAAGTAATGATGGTTTTGATGCCGAGAAATAGACTAGCTGTAAACTCTGAGATTTTAAATTGATTCTTCCTACAGACAGGGTCATTTTTACTAAGCCACCTCTCTGTATTGAGCTGATGGTGTCAGTTACACTGGCTCCTCTGTGGTTCTTTGTCCTTATTTATAAACAGGGTGTGTGAAATCCTTCTTCTCTTCTTCACTATCTCTGAGTAATACTTTGTCAGGGGTAAAGCGGACCTGGGCATTGATCACAGGGTCTTTCCTGGGCTTTGTGGCTCCACACACCCAAGAGCAATGGAGCCTCTAGCCCTGAAGCTTGGCTCTCGATTGTAAACGTACTTCAGGGTTTTCCACAGTCACTCCCATGCTCAGGTCCTCCGACTGCTTTCTGAAGAGGAGGAAAACACATAAAGCTCACTGGCTGAACACATGTTTTACTTCAGCTTTACAATCTGCTGGGGTAGGTTTTAGGGACCACATTGATCTGCAAGTACAGACAGGGGTACAGGTCAACCCCAAAGGCTGACACAGGTGAGCAGGCTAGGGGCCAGCTAGGGAAAGGCATCACGTTTGGTATAATTTCATGACTGAAGGAATGCTCAGCAGGCCATAGACCATGGCACAGGAGTAGGAAGAGAGTCAAAGCGAAGGGCTCGACATTGCATATCCTATTTCGAACTTGTCAGTAATTTAATTCTGCCTTCTTCCTCTTCATATGGTAAGTTTTGATCTTTTCTGGACTGCTTCCATGTTGACCCTCCCATGCCCCCCCACTTTGACTAATTAGTAGAACTGCATGATGGGTCTTGAAAAATGAAAATTGGAGCTACTGTAAGGAGCCCTCAGCAAGATAAGAACAAAAAACTATTCCTCTCCCCCAATCTACAGGAAAGCTGGTTTTATTACATGTTTTAAAACTATTCATGAAAATGTTATTTCTAACAGACAAGTGGGCAAACCCCTAACTTTGAATATTGGCTTTCTTTCCACAATCAGGCCTTTGCTGAAATGTCACTTTGTCATTCCAGTCTTTCTTGACAACCTGATCGAAGTTTGTAATATCCTCAGGCCCTTGGCAACACACTCTCTAATCTCTCTCTCTCTCTCTCTCTCTCTCTCTCTCTCTCTCTCTCTCTCTCCCCTCTCTATGGCAATTATCACTATCTAATGTACATTTTACTTCATAATTTAATTTTTTGTTTATTTCTACTAACATATAAATTCCATGAGCTTCCAATAATCATAATCCTAGTGTCTCTAGGACAGTCCCCTGCACATAGTAGGTGATTAATATATTTTTTTAATGGATGGATGAATGAGTGTTGTACATTCTATGAAAGTAACCTCCAAAAGCTGACATATGGGATTGATTTACTTTCTTAATAACTTTTTGCATCAGTAATGTATTTACACTGACATTTCTTTTTCTGAAAGTTGTAAGTACTCATGAGGTTTTGTCCTTATGCTAGAAGAGGATAATTTAAACTTCCTTATCCTATTGTATGCATAGAGGTAGAAAGAAAACTTACTACTATTAGATTTTATACTTAAATGTAGAGTAAGAGCATCTGGCTTTATTTAAATTAATATGAGCAGTTGCATTTTGGCTTGATTTCCATTGTCCTCCCACTGGTATTTTTGCTACAGAACATGGCTCACTGGGTGGCACCATTCCACAGGCTGCCTGCTGCCAGGAGCCTTTGAGGAACCTTCAGGACTCAGTGCACACTGCTGGAGGCTGTTATCATTCATAACTGTGTGTGTTTGTGTATGTGTAAATTGCTGAAAAGTAAAACTAAAGACCCCAGTAGATTCTGTCTTCTTGCAAAAAATAAAAACCATATGGTGATGTGGTGGTGGTGGTGGTGGTGGTGGTGGTAGGTGAAGAGGGGTTAGAATCATGCTTGAGCTTAGGAAAAGGTGTTATTGTGACTTTGAGTTATGAAATAGGCCTTCTGCTTAGGGAGGGAGTTTGCAAAATTCCTTTACGAAATAAAGTGAAGGTGTTCAGCTTTCTCCCTGACAGGCCAATACTCAGGTCCTGGGGCTCTGAGACATAGAGGTGAGGAAAGGTAGGGAAGGCGTGAGCCTGTCCTCTTTCTTACTTTACCACCAGGCAGCAGATCTCCAAGGACTTTTAGAGCACTGCTGTTTGCTCACCAACTAAGTAATTTGGTATTTTAAAGTTCTCTATTGTGAGCCCTTCAGAAAACCTTGCACAATCAATAGTATTCTGTTAGGACAGATGAGATTGAGACCAGAGAAAGCAACTTGGAGGGCAGAGTCAGGGTGAGTCTGTGCCTCCCAGTGACCTTGGCATCCAGCGGAATGCAGTACCCCCGGCCCTCATTCCCTAGTGTTTCACTCACCCCTTAACTCAGTTTGTTTACAGAGTGCCTGCCGGATATGCGCCAGACTTGTTCTAAGTGCTGAAGTTGAGGCAACAAAACCAAAACCAAAAAACAAAACCAGACAAAAATCTCTGTCATCAAAGATCTTGTATTCTGGACAACAAACAAGCAAGCCAAATTTATAATATGCCACAGGGTGATCAATGTTATAGAGCAAAATTAAGCAGATGTGAGAGGTGGTATGTGCTAGAAGAATAAATGATTTGCTCTGGCAAAAATTAAAGCTGTGTAAGCCTGTCATTTCCATTAATGTTTGAGGGAAATGTGTTCAGCCAAAGAGTAGAATAGAAGGCTTGGTTCTGGAGTTTGTTCACCTTGTCAGTGTGGGAAATTTTATCAGCAGCACGTATTGTCTGAGACACTGCAGTGTCCAAGGACCTTGCCTTGAGGAGAGCAGCTTTGACTGGAAATTAATTTTTATTCTTTGCACAGTGACTGCTGCATCCTAAGCCACCACACTGTTTTCAGGGCCCAATTGCTCATTTTCAAGTACAGAGAACCGTAGATAGGAGATATTGAGCCTATTCATTGCCTCTGTGTAAGCGATAAGTGGGTGACAATGGAAGAGACACACTCTGGCACTTTTCCTCACAGTACTGGTAGAGGTGAGTGGTAAAGTTAGCAATGCTGTGGACTAGAAATCTGCAGGAGTTTCCTAGCCCTCCTGTGGGCTCTGTGGGTTCATCCCTTTTTCTGTTGCTGTTTTTTTTTTTTTTTAATATTTGGTACAGGGTCTTACTACCTAGCTTGGAATACTAGTGATCCTCCTGTTTTAAGCCTCCCCAGCACTGGGATTATAGGCATGTGCCACCATGCCTGGACTTGGTTGCAGGCTCAGGGTGCCCTGAGGCAGGGCCTGCACAGCATGTGGTGTGGGGGGTAGAACCCTGCTCCTTGTACTTATCTAAGCAGGCACTTAGTCCGCTGAGCTATCTCTGTGACCCATGCCTAACCATTCTTCAAGGTATTTCTCTGGTGTGTTTCACAGCTACAGGCCCAGTGTGAAGACCAGTTAGACCAAGATTCTGGCTGTGCTGCTGTAAGCAAATTGTCCACCCTGATCTGACTGCGGCTCACTCTCTGCACATGTAAAATAGAGTTGGTAGTGACCTCACAGAGACTGTCATATGCAAAGAAAGGAGAAGCAAAGGCATACAGATGGGAGGGAGGGGAAGGACCATACTGGGTCAGCAATCATTGAAATAATGCCCAATGGGGGCAATAGAATCACAGACTCTGAGATGAGATGACAGGTGGTGCCCACTATTTGGTGCAGCAGGGCCCTCCCTGTCTTCTCCTCTAGAGTATCCAAATGTGTGGTGTGGATGGTTTTAGGGAGAAACTAGAATCAGTCAGAGCTGTGTTTCAGAAAATGCCCTTTCAGTCCATGCCACATCTCCAGTATTTTGGGTACAGAGCCATCTTGTTACTTTCTTCATCACCGAGATGCCACAACCCACACCCACAATTTCAAGGATGAAGGCTTTATTTTGGCTCACAGTTTGTAGAGGTTTCAGTCCACAGTCATCTGGCTTCAAGGCAGGGTGTATGGCAGAGGAGAGGCAGCTCATGGCTTGGCTGTGGGAATTAGTGAGAAATCAAGGGAGGAGAGATGGAGACAGAAGAGCCTTCCAGGCTGTGTCCCTGGGTATCACCTCCTCCAGTGGGTGCCACCTTCTAACATCACATTTAGCTATGAACTCACCAGAGGACTCACACACCTGTGTGATCCAAGCACTTCCCAAAAGACCTCTGTATGGGTGCTTGAGGCTTTGGGGGACCATTTGGACATACAATACAATGGTAGCCAAATGTTTTATGAACTGCCAAGAACATTGTTAGAGTCAATGCCGCAACTCATTGCTTAGGCTCCATCTCTCCTCTGTCTGCCCTCCCTGCAACCCACCCCAGGCTGTCTACCTGAGCACATGTGACACCACGGGCTGGCCCAATGCAACTGAACATTAAGGAAAGGCGGGTTAGCTTTCTAAGTCATGATCTTTTAGAATCACTGTTTTCCTTAGATCTTACAGATTCTTCAGCTGCTCAGATAGATGTGCTGCAGGGTGATAGTAAGATTCTGCATCTCTGATCATCTGATGTCTTAAGAATATTAAGAAGGGCCTGATTGTTTGAACCTCAGCTTCACCCTGGAGTCTGACACCAAAGGTAAGGCCAACAATGTTCTCTTGTCAATATATGAAGTCTGGCGGTTGACCTGGGGCTTCCTGCATCACTTAGTAATAATTTCCTCTTTCTGCGGAGCACCTAACAGCTCCTAGGGGTCCCCCATGCCACCCAAACACAGTCACTGCTTAGTCTTGAGGTGTCAACAAGATATATAGCCTGATTCTTCAGAGAGCAGACAGAGGGGCGCAGTGAGCCGAGGAGGCTGAGGAGCTTTGCCCTTGAGTGCCATGTCCTGGAGCTCTTCTGCCTCCTGGTGGCTGAGTCTTGCTTGTTTGAAGGTCTGACTCTGCTTTACGTGAGAAGGTGTGATGGATGAAGAGGCAGATTCTCTGCACAGTTCCACACAGGAGCGATTCTACCTCCCAAAGGCGCCTGGCCGGCCCCTCCTCTCATCCAGCACCTTCTCTGGTGTACTTTTTTGCCAGAGAAAACCAGCTCATAAGTGCAGCTGTGCCATTCCACGGGGGCGTCTCACCAATCACAGGGGGCTCCAAGGGCCTGTCTTCCGTTACTGGGCTGGCAATGCCACCTGCAGGATTGATGGTGTGGTTCTGGAAGTGAGGCCGGTGGCGAGGGGGCTGAGGCAGCTTATTTGATGGATTACAAGGTTCCTGCTACCTGCCCTAGACATTAAATTTGATATTGTTGCTCCATTTTCAAATTAGATATACATGTTGAGTACTTTGTGCTGATGTTAACAGTTAATACCGAGAAGAAGAATTATTGACATTTACAGCTCTAATCAAAAAAACCATCAAACAAGGAGATCGATACTAGGTACACAAAGACTCTGAGGATGTTGTAATGATTGCCGTGTCTACCTCCAACTCCCTCTAGGCAAAGCTGGATAAGGGTGACTCACCTCAGTGTAAAAGAGCAATCCAATGAAACATTGTTACCAAATTTGAACCAGTTTCTTATTTTTTATTGAGCTCATCTGTCCTTTTTTATTCCCTGATGGATAACCTACAGTACACTGAATTAAACCACACAAAATATAAAAAATGAAGAAACCACCACTACTACATTGCCGTTTGTGACAGTATAAAATTTATATGAATTTCAAAAGAGTGCTTGAATTCTTTGGACCTACATTTTGGAAGTTAAATCTCAATATACATTTCAATCTAACAGGTAAATTAATAGTGGTAACTAGGGAGTGCGGTGAAAGGCAGTTACTCCGTGCACAAAAGAAGAGCAAGAGTATCGAGCAGCGCTTGGGGCTGGGTCTGGGAGCTAAATTCTCTCTTAGTAAATGAAAGACCCACCTCACTTCCTTAACTTTCTCAGCTTTCTAGCGTGACTAGGGCAGAGTGTCTCAAGGAAATTTAGGAAGGAGCATCTCAGGTTTGCCTGACTTTGAGGTAGCTGTCTTTTCCACTCAGCCCTGTTTGTTTCACTTTCCATCTTGCCACCATTCTCAGAGGTCCATAAGCAAGTACTGAAGGGAGCTGCCTTGTGCGTGGGTATTGCAAAGTGCACCATTGGCACCCAACTGAAGAATGTAATGGTGCTCCTGCCTTTGGACCTGAAATTTTCATATCAGTTTGCTTAACCCTCAACACCGCATACAAATTTAGGTATTTTTGCTATGGACCAGACCCTGGAAAGTCACCAAAGAATGGCACACATAATCTTTTGTCTCATGGGGCTTGATGATGGGCACTCAGAAATTTGCATAAGCAATTCCTTCACTGTAGCTGTAATAAGTACTCTAAGGAAGCAGAAGGCTCACCAGAGCACGTGACAGGGCCAGCTTCTAAGCAGGCTGGTGGGCAAGCAGCTCTCCAGTGGAGCCTGGGTCTGTTATCCCTCCAGATCCACTCTACTTTCTGCGGCTCGAGGAGGCTGAACTGTATGAACCGCATCCGCTTCCCTTTCCCCTGGCAGGCCCTCTGCTTTGACAGATGGGAAGCTCCTTCAGGAGTCTGGAGGAAAGGAGGAGAGGGAGACGGGTGCTATTATCCCAGATTTCTTCCAGGGCTAGTAGAGCTTGCCTTTTTCTCCTCAGAGACTCCAGTGCTTCTATGGCTACAGATTTCAGCAAAGCCTCCTTCTCTCTGGCACGCCTCAGGCCCAGGGCTTTGCCAGCCCCTCTGTATTTCACCATCTTTTTTTGTTGCTATTCGTTTGTTTCCCACAATTCTGTGGTATGAGTTTCCTATAGCTGTGTGGAAGAATCACAGACTTAGTGGTATAAGCAACAGGAACATTTGTCTCACAGTTCTGGACACTAAGCACTGACATTAAGGTGTTGGCTAGGCCTTGCTCCGGTTGGGGCCATAGGGAGTCCTACTTTGCCCCTGCCTAGCTTCGGGGTGGTGGTGGGTGGTGATCTCCAGGACTCTGGGGCTTGGCTTATGGTTGCGGGACTGCAGTCTCTTGTCTTCATTGTCACATGTGCTCTCCCTGTGTGTCTGTCTTGACATGTCTGTTGTGTAAGGACACCTGTCACACTAGACCAGGGACCTGCTGTACTCTAGTACGACCCATCTTAGCTAGTTAGGTGTGCAATTATCTTACTTCCAAATAAGTTCACATTCTAAGGTGCTGGGGTTAGGACTTCAACATTTTTTTTTTTTTTTGGAGGGGTCACAAATCAATCCCCGACAGCTGCTCACATTTGTGTAAATGTCTTTTTTATTAGTTTTCACTAATTACTCAGAATGCCCCCTGCCTCCTGATGGGAACTTGCCTGAAACAAGGGCTTGTAGAACTGTTGATGTTAGAATAAAATGGGAAAAAGAAAAAAGCCTGGGGACAGGAAGAAGAGCTATGGATTGAGAGCCCTAACAGCACCAGAAGAACAGTAATTCACATTACTCAGTAATCCAAGTTACCCAGAAAAGAATAATTTTTTTTTAAAATCCCAATAATGTTTGCACACTTATGACCACAATTAAAGGTCATACATTCCACAAGTTAGAGGAATTTTAAGGGTTTGTTGTTAATGGGCAAAACCATCTTCTTGAAGCCTAAGACAGAGCTGGAGTGAACAAGAAGTCGAAGTACGAGGTGGAAGGCAGCAGGGGTGGAGGGCAGAGAAGTCGGCCAGAGCTCTGCCCTCAGACTCCACCCTTGCCAGCCATGTGAAGGCCATGTTGCATGTGATCGGTCATTTCTGTGTCAAGGTCAAATGTCAACCAATATTTCCCAGGCTCTGGGGAGTATCTGTCCTGGTGTGTGACTTCCAGAGAGAATTATTTTTTCTTTACTATCTGTGATTAGGTTTCTGTGAGAAATAAATGAAACTATATCTGCAAATACTTGGCCCATTGCTTAGCTATTTTTTTCTTAGTTATTTTTAATTTTCTCCTTGTCTTAAAAATAATGATGATACTTGAGGAGTATGTGTGTGTGTGTGTGTGTGTGTGTGTGTGTGTGTGTGTTATGGGGGTTCAGATCCACAGTCTTCTCACTGAGGTATAGCTCCATCCCACTTTATTTTGAGATGGGTCTCACTAAATGATTAAGTTGCTCAGACTCCCTGCCTCAGCTTCCCATAGTGCCGGGGTGATGGGTGTGCACCATCCTGCCTGCCTGATACCTGAGACTTAAGTTAGTAGGAGAGGCAAGCGCTTTAGGAGCTTTGTTCATCTTCTCCCCTGATCTCCATCAATCTTCCCTTCTTTAGCGTCTACCCAGTCCCATTCACTGTGGCACTACTGCTCTCATGAGTTCCGGGGGCACCTTCCGATCAGCTCCCCATCCTTCAGCTTCTCATTTGTAGAAATTTTGCAGCTGCTGTTGTGTACAGTGCTTCATGTTTTATACATTCTGCCTCACACTCATTTGGTCTGCTTTGATTACCAGGGTCATCTCCCCAAAGCGCCAGTTGAACCCTTCCTGGTCCTCAAAAACATTGTCTGAAGTGACGTGATTTCTTTTCTCCCCAGGATGCCTGACAGAGGCAGGCTGCAGTCCACAGCACACAACAGGGAAGAGCAGGAAGGGGCTCATTCCTGAGGTGGAGCTGCTGCAGAAGGCACCTGAGGTCTCAGAGCTGCACACTGAAGACAGGCTGCGGCTTCACAGAACTTCAGCTCCCTGGAACCTTCCCTGATAGGGGAGGGTTAAAAAAGGAACGGCTGACCCTAATGTGCAAACTGCCACAAGCACTTCTTGTGTTTCTATTAGCGTAAGATGGCTCGAGGGGGCTGCAAGGCCGATGTGGTTAATATTTCATTTTTAGGGCTGTGTGGTGGTTGGGAGCGCCAGGCACATCAACCAACAGATTAAACAGTGGTGAAAGAAGATGTGGTTATTGGTCTCATTGGGAGCAGAAGGAAGAATGGAAGATCTGAGGGCAGAAGGGACCTCAGCAAGTCTTGTGACCTTGCTTCAACCATGACTTCGCCATAATCTCATAGAAAGCTGCTTTACCTGTTCTTTCTTTCTTTGTTTTTAAAATCAGTACATCATTGACTTTACTGAGTGTAATTATCAAGTTGTAAGAACAATTATAACTAGGTTAATACTTCACAGGATTTTGATGTCTGATAAGATTTGAGTATTGGCCAGTTTCCATCTAAAACATCAATACAGCTTTTATCAATGAAAATACTTTATTCATCAAATATTGAAATCATTCATTTCCTAAAACAAATGAATTATTTTGAGTTTGAAGTAAAGAAAAAGGCCACGTTAAAATATGAACAGAAATAACT